TCATACACTATTTAATCTAGACGACTTCACTTCTGAATCAATTATTTTCAACAACTGTAGGATAATAGACAAATCCAGACATTGGTCTGTATTACTTTTTAAAGAATCTCTATATATTCATCGCCAGAGACCGGAACTTAACCACGGATGTAAAGCCTCTAAGGAACTTATAATTTTTAACTAACACATATCATATTTCATTAATTTGATCTTGTATATATAGTTTTGTATTTCGTAGTAGCGTCATTCCTGATGATGACTGCAAGCTAGTCGAAACGTCGAATCAAAATGTTAACCGTTTTCGGAGTGTCCATTGTTTTGTATTTTTTAAAATTACTGTATACTGTACATTATATATTTGGAGCAGGGGTTGAAATTTAAAAAAAATTCTAGTGGATAAGATCTGTTTGCCGAATTTAATGCCAGGTCGCCCTATATCACTACCTTAAAAAATAAGCAGAAACTCGACGTTTCAAGTAAAGGCCCTTCGTTATGAAGTATTCTCTTTGTATATACAGTAGATAACATAAAAACAGTTGTTTAAAATACATTGGCAAATTGTGTGCAATTTAAGCAGAATGAAATACTTGAGCATTGAGATATTTTAAGGCTAAATAGATTTATACTTATTATTTTAAGTTGTTTTTTTTCTCAGTCGTTGTGAGTGCTACCATTACCAAATATCTGGTCAACAGGTTGAAAATTTGGTCGCAATTGCCAACCTACTGTAGCCTCCCTCATTTCAACCCCTGATTTGGAGTCAACTTTAATTATTTTTCAAATAAACAATGTCTATCCTTGTGAGACAAAAATCCTACTGTAAGAGAGCTTAAGCACTAAAGAATTGTTGTCTGAATTCTGCATTACAGGCTGATACGCTAAAAGAAAGATATCAAAAAATTGGAGACACTAAAAGGTCAACTCCTATTGAAGTTCTCTGTGAAAACCAACCAGGTAAACTTAATCTATTCTGATAATCTCAAAATGTCAGGTTAGAGCTCGACAACTGTCTCTCTGTCGCTCAGTTGGTTAGGGAAAAAAAATATGTGGGTTTCCGGTTTCCCGACCCTACCTAGCTTTTGGACGTCGAAATCCCGACCCTAAACTTTTTTATTGGATCATGCTTGTAAGTGTTTCCACTTAGAGGAAACGTTTGTGGAAAATTGAAATTTGAGGCAATATTAGGGAAATTTATCTTTGGATGTGGAAGCACTGGCTAAACAAAATGCCGTCTGCTTATTCGGAAAATTAAAAAAAAAGTTTAAAAAAAAAAGTTAAAACCGACCTACCCTACCTAAGTTTTTATAAGAAGAAACCGGAAACCCACATATTTTTTTTTGGCCTTAGAGCATTGCACTGCGGAATCACAGGGCCGCAGGTTTGATTCCTGCCAGAGAGCCGATAGTTGCATTTTTCGCAACTGTTTCTGGTTAGGTCTAATAAGTGTATATTAAAAGTCCACTCAAAGTATCCATCTACAAGTTCCTTCAACAATACTATGAAAGGCTGCCATGGTTTGTGTTTGAACTGCCTGAGAAAAAGTGAGTAAATTCATGGCGATGTGGTTAGCGCACATGCCTTTCACATCTAAGGTTGCAAGTTCAAATCTCAGTGAGAACTTTCTCAATGTGACTCGAACCCAGTCCTCATGTGAAAAGAGTAAAAGTCAACGCTCTGCCGAAAGTCGTGGGTTTTCTTCGGGTACTCCGGTTTCCTCCCACAGGGAAAGTTGACAGGGTGGGTTCATAGATATCTTATATACACTAGATAGTGCATCTATTTATTCTGAAATTCAAAAATTGAAGCCATGATTGCAGTCTCAGGTCGTTCCCATGAAATGAGTAGATTCGTATGTTTTCTATTTCTTAAACAGGGAACTTAAACATTAAGTTAACCCTATTCCAAATTCGTTTTTAAAATATTCAAATGATGGAAATTATTGTTGTTTTTAAGCGTTTATTAGCGAGTGGGAACGACCAACATGGCCGCCATCTATTCAAATGGGGGTAACCGCTGGAATATTGTTGGCTTCAATTTTACTAAAAGAGATGCGCTATCTAGTGTATATAAGATATCTATGGATGGGTTAGGTTAAAGGGCCCAAGGTAATTGGCATATGCTGTTGTGTGGTCCCTGTCCTAGTTGGCAAAGCTAAATATATAAATGTTCCAAGCGTGTTGTCAGTGAAGTTTGTTTAAGGCCTTGCATATTTCTAATCTTTTAAGTGTAGTTCAGACACAAAATATGGCAGCTAAAATAAGTTTATTTACCATTGGCTAGTTAGCAGTGAATAATTCCACAAGCAATACAATAATACTTTTCTTCATATGTTCACAGAGGAGCTTGCAACATACCTTAGATACGTCCGAAGGTTGGACTTCTTTGAGACGCCCGACTATGACTACTTACGAGGACTGTTCAAGGATTTATTTGAAAGAAAAGGCTATGTTGACGATGGTGAATTTGACTGGACGCATAAACAAATTGTAAGTACTTGACTATTATACATATCTCTGCAATGTAAAGTTGCCTACTTTTGGCAAACTGCTGTCGTTGTGAGATGGGCGTAGCCCACCATGCAGAGCTTGAAATTTGAAATCTTCAGCACTGTCCAGTGGGATACTAGGAACTTGAAAATCTGGTATCCACCATGAAAATTTGTATCCCACATTTGGCTGTATTCAAACATTGAGACAACTGGTAAAAAATAGTTTTCAATTGTAATGAATTTGATGATATATAATGAATCTAAGATATGTTTATAAACGATATACTGTACAGCAGAAAATGCACTATCTGTGGAGGACAGTCCCAGAAACTTGTTTAGTATCCCAATGGATGCTGAGCTTGTGATGTCCAGTACCCAAACTTAAAATCTGGTGTACCTTGGATGTTGGGATACTGGAAATTTCAAGCCTGCCACCATGCACGTTAATCGCAGTTTCTTTACCCACAGGCTGACAATGCACAGGCTATCACTCTGCTAACTCAAGGTCAGCGGCACCGGGTAATACTTGTATGCTGTAAAACCCATCATACATGCATACACATTTTTCATGTAAAGTAATTTACCAAAAACAAGAAATTGTTGGTTTGAGGTTTCTTCGCTGTGTTTGCCAGTGTAGGTAGTGCCAATAAAATGATCAAGCTTTCGTTGATAGGGATGCAACTACCTCAAAATATATAAGGCAAAAAAAAAAAATATGTGGGTTTCCGGTTTCCTCTTGTAAAAACTTAGGTAGGGTAGGTCGGTTTTAACTTTTTTTTTTAAACTTTTTTTTTTATTTTCCTAACAACCGGACGCCATTTTGTTTAGCCAGTGCTTCCACATCCAAACATAAATTTCCCTAATATTGCCTCAAATTTTCATTTTCCACAAACGTTTTGCTCTAAGTGGAAACACTTACAAGCGTGATCCAATAAAAAAGTTTAGGGTCGGGATTTCGACGTCCAAAAGCTAGGTAGGGTCGGGAAACCGGAAACCCACATATTTTTTTATTTGGCCTAAGGAGAATTTCGACGTTTCGAGCGAAGGCTCTTCGTCTGGATTTACTAGCGGAACCAGTTACTAGTAACTCGAGACAAAGGGCCTTCGCTCGAAACGTCCAAATTTTCCTTATATATTTTCAGGTAGTTGCATCCCTGCCAACGAAAGTTTGATCATTGCAATACACCGTTCTGGAAAATACATTACTTTGGCTATAGAGCCTCGTTTTCATTATTGATAGGGTTGATGGGCTCATGGGCGGATCTAGAATCCCCCTAGAATCTCTCTAACCCCTCTAATAAAGTGTTCAACCCCACCAAAATTTCGCTTCACCCCTCCTATTTTGTGTGAAAGGCCTTAACCCAAACGCCTAAACCCTGCCGAAGCTCACTGAGTGGTGCCCTTTTTCTACCCCTCCTTTTAAATAAATGCCTAATGTCACACATTTTACTGATACAAAAAATGAGTCTCTATAGCCAAAATGACGTACTTTCAGTAAGGGTCAACAATTTGTGACATTTTTAACAGGTCGGTCAGAAGCCTGAAACCAACAATTATTTCGTTCTACCATTTGTTATTCCATTAAGCTGCACATTGTTCTTTTTAAAGTGCCCAATGCCACTTTGTCTAACTGCCGATGATTTTATGTGCCAATTATTTTTCAGCCCTATGCCATCAATCCACTTGACGCCTCATCACATCAACCTGATCCTCGATACATCCAAAATCCTGGCAGGGGTAATGCTAATCAGAACAACAGAGTAAGTAGAAATGGCTACAGGATGTTAGCTACATCGTTTTCTCAAATAATATTAACAAAAAATATCCGGCCGGATGCCAGATGATATAAGGTTTGAGCTTTCATTTGAGATAAAATAATGATTTTAATAGGTTATAAAATGATGGTGTTTGTGATATGTTGACTTGAAGTAATAGGAAAGAACTTCACACTTCACAGTCTAACATCGATGAACTTGCATAGTTGCAAAATGCTTGCTCACAAATTTCCAGTTTTTAGCATTCGCAAACAAGCATCAGAATACTGCCAGCTTCGCTTGGATCTTTTCAATGGCCTGATAATTGATTATATGTCCAGTGCATCCCTAGCAACTTAGCAATTTAGATATGCCAAAAACGTATTACGAAAAAAAGAAAAAATATAAGATTCATGATCGCTGGAATACCAGTGAGGTCTGCAATTAATCTGGAATTATTGCACCCTGAAAATCTTTTACATGTACATTTTGTATCACGTAATGAAATGCTCTTGTTGGGAATATGTAATAGAGTTAAAAAATACTTGAGTTCTTTATGATGTAATAACTTATGTGATGTAACCCTTTAAGTGGCAATGCACCAAGTACTTGCACCCTAAGGACTTTATTGTTTTACTACGCCAATCACCGTTCAATGATTAAACCTATGTATTACCCCTAGGGCTCGTCAGGGGATCGCAAAGCTTGGCCTGACATGAGCAATGTTCGTAATTCCAACAGCAACCTAATGCCCAGTGGTGGTCACAGGTTAGCCGGCTCTGTGCAGGTGGTCAGTTCAACGAATGGTGATTTGGGACCATCCAGTGATTCAGCGCTTGAACCGAAACTAGGAGGTCATTTGAATACACAACCTGATGTCGAAGTCGTCGAAGAAACAAAGTGAGTGTATGGTTAACAGCTGAAGAGAGAAATCCTTTCTGAATAAAAGTTATGAGACTGATTTAGAAAAGACGACGCGAACTGAAAGACGCGCCTTCGAAACAAAGAAATTCTTCATGCAAAACAAAAAGTTTGAATATATATTTGTCATTCTGAATGAACGTTAAACTAAGATTTTCACGTCATTGGAGCAAAGTGGATGCTTGTTGCGACGTTGGAATCGTCGCATAGCAAACACCGGATCTTTTTTCCCGAACCTAGCCGTTTGTAAGGTTATTTTGAAAAGCTTCAATTTATTACAGGAATCAAGTTTCATTGCTTTCAATCTTGGGCTGAAATTGAGACCACGTCGTACGGTATTTTCTAAATCTGTCTAATGTAAGGGATAGGGCGAGGGTTAGGATTGAGAATCCAGGAATCGCATAATGTAGTTTCATTCGCCTTTCTAACTGCACGTGTAATACCCTTGCAACTCTCGCTCTTGTTGGACGACTAAAGTCTAAAAAGAGTTGATGAAAGTATTTTTTGTCTGACTGGTATTATCCAGCCAACTCTGATCAACCTTCATGCAGTTAACTCGTCTTGTTTGATTGGGGTATGAGAGTTGAGAAAACTCTCATGCAAACTCTCGCTTCTCAACTCTCATCAACTTTGAGCTATAGTCAAATTTTGGTGAGAGTTCATGGGAGTTCTTGTTCGTTTGACAGGTACTGTATAATATCCAGCCGACTCTCGTCAACTCTCATGCAACGCTTGTTCTCGTTTGACTCGGGCATGAGAGTTGAGAAAACTTTCATACAAACTCTGGCTTGCCAACTCGAATTTAACCGGGATTTTAGAAACATTTTCGTCCCTTCCTTATACTGTAAACGGACCATTGCTCTGGAATGACGAGCTATGTTCATTTTATCTTAGATGCTGCTGTTTCAAGCGACGAAAAAGAAAGACGGTTAGAAAGAAATAAAGTAGAATAAAAATCGACAACACGAGAACTCAAGAAGAATGCTTTCCACTCATTCCTGTTTGTAACAGTAAGACCAAGGGGGGTTGGGAAGCTGTGTGATTCCCATGACAGGTCATGGGTTATAGATGTTCGTTGTGATAGAGATTTTGTAAGATATGTACAGCAGAGGTGTTTTTACAGATATACAATGGGGTAAAATGTTTTTTATTCCAGTATATGAACATTCACCATTCTAATTTCCCCTAGAATCAGAGACTTTTCCCCTACTAGAATCATAGAGAGTTCCCCCTAGAGGTACCCCTATTAGAATCATAGCGAGTTTCCATAAAGGTACCCCCTATTAGAATCACGGAAAGTTCCCTTAGAGGCACAACTTCAGATTATATGAATAGTCGAAACGAGGGCGAATATTCACAAAAGGTATACTTTTTGGAGTAATTGTGCTACTAGAATGATATGGACATTCCAAGAGGTACAGATTATAGGAATAGTCGAAAAGAAGGTTACTAAAGGTATAATACTATATTGAATGAAAAGGATTCCATTTTTCTTACGAATTTATGAAGAAGGCGATAGGCAAGAGGCAATTTGATAGCTACAAAGTATTTTACCTCGATTGAGTATCTACATAATTTTGTAATGCTTTCAAGGATATCTAGTTATGGGTGAGTTATGATGTAGTATAGCATTGTATACGTCGATTTGTTTGATAAAAATAGGTTTCCATTAGATATATTGACATTACATTGGTCTGCCTTGTCATGGTCGCGACCATCACGGTCAAATAGAGACCAGACTTAGGTCCCGTCCACAGGAATCCGATTCGTTTGTGTCCGAAAACATTTTGTCATTTTGTGCGACGAGGCCGTTTTTCACTAGGCGGAATTTTCCGCGCGGAGCGGAATTTCTCTTTATCTTTTCTAATTTGTGTTTCTCACGATGACGAATATCCGCCATTTTTGGGTGGCGTCTAATTCTCGTTAACCAATGCAGACAATTAAAACAATGTGAAAAGCAATTTTTCAAAATAAACTATAACCATTTACAAAGCAAAAAAATTATAAAAAGTCGCTGTTATGTGGACTCATCTCGCAGACTTCGGCTGAAAAGCCACCCAAAAATGGCGGCGTGAGAAATGCTAATTAGTTCCACCCGAGAAATCACAAGACAAAGAAAAATTCCGCGCGGAAAATTCCGCCTAGTGGAAAATGGCCTTTCGGTTGGGCGCATGAGAAGAGCAACGTTTGACCCGGGCCTAATCGGAACGTTAAGTCTTAAGAGCGATTTGCACTACACAACTTTTGCCTAAAACTGTCGCATGCAAACTGCTTACAACTTGAGTTGTACTGTGTAAATCAAGCATGTTAAGGCTGCATTCCAGTTACGCGTTTTTCATACGTGCGTACACGCACGTAAAAGTTGAATTCGCTTAAAATTGCATATAAGTGCAAATAACCTTAACAAATATACATTAAATCATACACAAAACTGAATGCTGTCCTTTTATAAATTTAGTTATTTCATAAGTAGGATGTAAAGCGAATTCAACTTTTACGTGCGTGTACGCACGTATGAAAAACGCGTAACTGGAATGCAGCCTTAACTCACTTAGGCGAGTCGTGTGCTTGATTTACACAGTACAACTCAGTTATAAACAGGTTGCATGCGACAGTGGCAATCGACCTTTATGAAAACGGTGCTGGAAATGGGTGACCTTCGAGATCCACCCACGGTAATAACACCATCCCACGGGCCTGCGTAACATCGTTTTCGCGGATACGTGTGAACGGCCGAAAACGTGACGAATTGGCGTACGCGTGGGTTTATTTGAATCCGCAACAAAATGTTTGCACACGCAAAAGACTACGTGTGGACGAGGCCTTAGCTCTTGATATATATCTAATTGTAGAGCTAGGAATAGGGGCGGCGTTTGTTCTCTGAAAGAGACCGGAATATTGGCATTTCAGAGACCAATTTTTATTAGGTTGTAAGGGCTTTTAGGCCCATTTCTACTCGAGAACAATTTCCACGGGCAGAAAATTTTCCCAAAATGTCATTGTGTTGAAAATTTTCAACTTGAAATTTTTTTTTCCGACGGAAAATTTGTGTCGGCCGATCACATTTTACAAAATTTTCTTTCTGCGGAAAATTTTCCTGAGTAGAAATGGGCGAAACACCCTGGTTTTCCGTTGGACCAATGAAATTTACCGTATGTCGAAGTCGTTAGCCCACACCGGGCTCAAAAGCAGGCTTGCAGGCAAGGGATAGAATCTCGGCTGTGTTGGGCGGAAAATGCGCAAATACAAATTGAATCGTAAATACTATATCGCTCTGAAACTATGGCAAAGTCAAGACAAGCATATTTGGGCTTACTTTATAACTGTAAAAATACATAAAAGTTTAAGGAATATTTTTAGTAGATACATTCAATCATTCAAAGCTAGTATAGGACAACTCGTGTTATGACCGATGCCGCATTACATGAACTGTCGACAGAAACTTATTGATTTAGTTTACAGTGCCTCTGGCACAGATTGTCTGTGGTGTATTTGTAATTTATCATATTTGAATTAGAGAATAAACATTCTAAATTTCATGTGCATGAGCGTTGTACCAGGGGCGTAGGAAGCACCTGGAGTTTGGGGGGGGGCACCGGCTTGTAGGGGCACATTACTATCGGAAAGGGCACCTAAAAAATTTTTCCCGGAAATGTTGTCGACGGGGGGGGGGAGAAATTTCTCCTGAGGAAAATTTTCCGTCGTATCATACCGAAATTTATGTTTGTGACCTAATTTTTAAAAAAAATTTGTAAATTTTCACACAAAAACGGCACCTATTGTTTTAATTTAGTATTTACAGCGACATTAGCTTCTACAAAAGGGGCACTTTTCCTCACAAAAAAAGGGCACTTTTCAACACAAAAAGGGCACTTTTTATCACAAAAAAGGGCACTTTTAGTCCTTTAAAAAAATTGGGGGGGGCACGTGCCCCCCGTGCCCCCCCGCTTCCTACGCCCCTGCGTTGTACTGTTCATTTAACCTGGGATATGTAGAGGGGGGGGGGCTCCCTTGTTTTCCACAAAGATAGCCTGCGAACAGGTTCTTTGAATTGAATTAGACAAAGTTTCAACCATGTTCCCTATGACTTTTGGCTTTGTTCCATCGCAAAACATGTCTTGTTCCCTAAAAACTCCTGGGCGACCCTCGATATATGGCGATTAGATGATCACCCCAAAGGCCTTTTGTCAGGAAAACTACTAATATTTCCAAGAACTTTAAAATGGCCTTTTTCCGCGGGAAATGGCGTCAAATATTTTATTTGGTGTTGACTATAAAATTCCATACTTCAGAATACGACAATTGGCAAATTCTTTATATTAGGAATGTTTCATTTTGGGGCGATTTTGGGGCCGTTTTGTACACGTTCTCACTACAAAGAGCAGCAGAAAGCGGCTTAAAATGGAATTTTGAATATATTTTGAATTGTATTCACATTTTCATTCAGTTTTGGAACTCATTTTGATTTTGACGTATGAAATTTTATACTGTAACGTAAACAATGCCAAAGGCTGGCGATGGCTGTCTGCAAAAGTTGGCATCTTTTAGCAAGAATAGATTGCAATTCTGTGAAGAAATATGATTATCAAATGTGTTCAATTGATAAACCGTATGTTTATTAAAAAGTAAATTGAATTGTTTTGCAATTTAGATCAATTTTGTTGTTGCTACGGCAACAACTAATAAGTGAACGCTTTCTTAGTTTATTGTCTTGTACACATAATTTGCAAAGAAATGGTGTGAAATTTATACGGGAGTTGTATATCTGTTGTATATTATGGAAATTATAAAGAAATCTCACTTGGATCCAGCGCTGCCAAAATCCACTTTTCACCACATCGGCCAGGACATAAAGAAGTCAGATTCGACATGTGAAAATATTTACAAAAGCTCGATAAAGAGAGACTTTCCAGCTCTGGGGTACGTCACAAGGCAAAGCCGCATTCCCTCGCCAAAATCGGCAAAGATTTTCTCGGTGGAAGCTCGAATCAATGAACAAAAGTCGCTTACAGCCACTCATTTTGCAAAACAAAATGTGACCGAACGAGCAACTCTTTCAGAAGTGGCAAAATTGGCGTCTGGGACCAAAAACCTAATGAAAATGGACGTAGATAATAGAGCGATGTCTTTTGATACCACAAACAAACTATATTTTCCTGCAAGAGTTTTAGAAATGGTTAAAGGCAAAGATGATATGATGCGAAGTTCTATACCTCAAGGTATGCTGTCCAGATCCGGACTGAAAAAGTTTTATTTTGCTCAGGAAACTGTATTTTTCAGCTTTCGAAAAATTTGCAGAAATGTCAGATATTTTCACAGAAAATTTATGGCAGACCAAGCTAAGGGATCCTGCAGTCAGAAAGTGTTTTTTTGTGAAATAGGAAGATCGGACATCTGCTTGGTTCTTTTTTCACAAAGGCACTTTATGCAGATTATTTGGAGTTTTGGAAAAACTTTGCGCAGGAAATTAATTTCCCCCAAAGCCAAAACTTGGTCTGGATTTTTATTTTGGTTTATATACCTTACAAGTATCCGTTATAATTACTGTTTGCATAATCTCAGTTACGTGTTTACATAACATCAATTTAACAATTGTGTGTTTACATAATCTAAATTAATTGTTTACATTAATGACAATTTGATCCCACCCCTTGTGAGGCCTCCAAAAAGTTTGCTGGATGTTTATAGTGATGCAGCATCGGGCTACTGCAAAGTGTCAATTGGTAATGGGGGCAAATGTGGGGTTAGCTTTCACATGGGGGGATCAATCTTCAGGGGGGGGGGCATCAAATCATCAATCCTAATCTGACAAAAAGTATTTGGAGAAGAGACTTCGAAGCAAATCCTCCATTAGATCCAGAGCGTCCATTATGGTAACAGCCCTCCAATCTTTGTCACTGGCACAGAATTGAGACCTTACAGGAGGCTGACTCAACTCACCATGTTCCTAGCCAGTGCACGTATGACAGGCATAATTCACCCCACCATTTTAAAATCCGACTATGTGTGTGGCATATTCCTACAGGTGACAAAGAGAAGGTCAGGTTACCTCTCTCAAATTACAAACAAAGTTTCCCAGAAGATCAGCTGAGCAAGTTAGATGTTGCCACCCTTGCACAATTTAAAACTCCGCCTGTGTTACGAGGAGACACAAGAAGTTATGATGATCAGTTTGAAACTACAAATTCAAAGACATTTGGTGGACATTGTATTACACTACAGAAACTGAAGGCTATCAAGGTACTGTAGAAGATTATATTTTAACAAAACTAACTTTTTTATCAGGAGGAACTTACCTAAACTCAATGGTGTCAAGTAACGAAGTATAAATGTACTTCGTTTATACTGTACTTGAGTACTATTTTTGAGAAGTGAGCATGTAACAAAGTAAACTTTTTACTTGGAACGAAGTCGTTTTAAGAAGTAACGTTTTACTTCGTTATTTTCATTTTGTGGCGAAGTATTTCGTTTCTCACATTTGTTTAATTTTACGTGATTTATTCCTGATTTATTTTAATTTTGGGATAGGTAATAGGACCTCTATATGCGTCTGGGATCTATCGTTTGTGGCTTACTTATAAGCATTATTTATTTAATGCATTTCTTATATCTTCAACGGGGTTTGGAAAGTAGACCATGCCGCATATACAATGAAATATTGTATATTATAGTGTACGTATACAATGCGTGTGTTATAGTGTGTCTTTTGTATGTAAGTCCATTGGAGAAGCCCCCCTATACACGCTATAGACAATAGTATTTTTACTTTGTACTTCATTCTTCAAGTATTTTTTAAGGATACTTTGTACTTTTTACTTAAGTACGTTTTGTCTCCAGTACTTTTTACTCTTACGTCGATTTATTGTTAATTACTTCTACTTTTACTCGAGTACAAATTCAAAGTAATTTAGGCACCACTGCCTAAACTAATTTTATGTACTATTTAAATTTTAAAACGCGAGCAGGAGTGCTTTATCAGTTATGAAACACGAGGCAACAGCCAAGCGTCTCAGCATATCTGATAAAATTCGAGTGTTTTAAATGGCTTAAAAAAAACGAACCATCTTATGAGTTCATTGTCGAAGTAACTTTAAAAATCAACGTTGTCTGAGCCTAAATCAAAGTTAAAGTTTGTAGATTATCATGACTTTTATCAGATATCCATGGCATATGACATTTGTGTCAGGGGAATGAGGGGATCTGTATAGAAGGCCCTTTAAAACAACCGAAAAATACCTGGAAAATAAAGAGAGAAAACCCCCGGAAACAGTACAGTTTTCATCAAGGTCATTAGCTTAAATAGACCTTTCCCCTTATGAGTGAAATTTTGATCTAGATATGCCTGGACAAAAATTTCATCACAGCTTGAAAGAGCATCACAAAATTAGAAATATTCCGAAGTTTCGTTGCGAAATGTTGTAAAATGCGGATAATATAGCCTTGCGAAGTTTGCCATTTTTCAGTCATTTTGTATTACAAACGGGAAAATGATAATCAGATGATCAAACTGATTATCAATTTCCGTTTGTAATACAAAATGACTGAAAATTACAAACTTCGCAAGGCTATATCAGTATCCGCATTTTACAACATTTCGCAACGAAACTTCGGAATATTACTAATTTTGTGATCATGCTCTTTCAAGCTGTGGTAAAATTTTTGTCCAGACTTGTCTAGATCAAAATTTCACTCAAAAGGGGAAGGTATATTTGGCTACACTGACTTATCAACATAAAATATCCGAAACAAATTTCAGAACAATGGTTGTAGTATACGCCATGGTGACCCAGACAAGTGTCTGTATTCTGTAACAACAAGTAAAAAATTCTTCAAAGAAAAACCGTTCGAGAGAGTAGATCCCTGTGGCCCTAACTACGTGTCGAATATTGTGCTTGGGGATGACAGAGGAGAGTGGTCTTTGAAAAACTACAAAACTAACAGAGGGCCATTGCCTCGGGTTGAAACACGTACGTAATAGTTTGTTTACTCTTAGTGTGATCTTCTTTTCTTGCTTTTATCTCTGCGAACTTATTTTCTTCTATTTAATTTCGCGCATGCAGTGTTAGAAATAGAATTGTTGCGCAAACGTAGATGGTGTGTTTCTCAGCTTTTCGAACATTTCAACAGCCCTACAACATCTCCCAACAACTTGTCATCAGGATGTGTTCGCACTGCTTGTCGAAGCTTGTTGACAAGTTGCCAACGGCTTAATTGTTGACAACTTGTTATAAGGTTTTTGAGCTCAAAAGACTTGTTACAAGTTGTTCCAACAACTTGTTATCGTCCTGCAATTCGTCCTGTTATCGTCCTGCAATTCAACAATTTGTCAACAAGTTGTGAGTGACAACCTTGTAGCAACTTGATAAAAACAACAGCACTGTCGACAAACTTGCGGACAAACTTGCTACAAGCCTGTTGCGAACACATCTTGTTGAGCGTGTAAGCGATGATAGTTTGGATGCAAAATTGAGTACTTCGATTAAGTCTGTTAAATTGTTTCTTTTACAGAACATTTAGTTAGTAGATTAGCAAAATTAAACATGGCAAAGAGCAGTCTTCCTATGGGAGATATGGATCCCGACAGAGCACAGAAAAGAATCACACAGACAACCAGTAAATCATTTTTCAGAAAGGTACCGGCGAATGAGCTATTATATCTTATATAGTTTCTTCCACAATTTTGTAACTGAAAAACTTCTTCCGAATCACAAATACTGAATGTTCGTTTTCCATTTAGCCAGTCGTGTTATTTCCATATGCAAAGGTAAACGGAGCCTATCTGCTGACAAAATCCAAAATCAAATTTGGAACAAAGAACGCCGTTACGCAACACAATACAACAACACGATCAAACTTTCCTGCAATGTCTGAACCTGTGAAGAGGAGAGATTGTCAAACTACGAACAGCAATGTTTGTTTAGATTATTATGGTATGTGTTTAATTTCGGTTTTAGAGGCATCGGCTAGGTTTCACCATAGCCTATCGAAGGGAAGATGACTCTGAAACTCATTAGAATAACAATATAACTCATCATCTATACTATCTATATTAGTCGACATTTATTCATAAATCTGGTCCTTCACCGTTACGTGCGTATTGCATTTTTGCCCAACAAACCAATTCTTTGTTTGCAATGACGTAATTTTGGGATTTCAGATGACGGGTAGGTATAACAAAAAACGGCTATTTTAATGTATTGATCGAGTTTAGAACTTTAGAGACAGTTTAAGACTCAAAAGATGAATTACCGTCCAGTTTTTCTTGCTACAACCATGCTGATAGGATAAAAATCGTCCACAAGTCGTTTGATTGCCCGTCATTTGGATGAAACGTCACGTGATTGCAAACAAGGAATAGCAGTGTTTTAGGAAAGTTACCTATCCGTGACTCGAACTATTGGGAAATTGGAAATTGCTATTGGTGGATTTGGAAAAAAATACAATACACACGTGACGGTGAAGGACCATATTTATGAATAAACGTTAACTAACATAGATAATGATTATATTGTTATTCTAATGAGTTTCACAGCCGTCTTCCCTTCGATAGGCTATGCTTTCACTCAGCACTAGTCGTACCGTAGGTGGTGGTCAACCAGAAGTTATCAGAATAAGCAGAAGATACTTTTACGAGCATTTTAAAATGGCAACTATTTTTCAACAGGTGATGAAAGTAACCAGTCCCCAACTGTCTGTGATTTCTACCCTCACATTGGAGCGAAACGACTATTGCCTAATCCAAACAGCATAGCTAAAGTAAGTCGCGTCAATCATTGTTTCAAATTCAGGCAAAACGAAGGATATCACAATGATTATAAAATGTTATAGAAAGATTAATGCGAGATTTTCCGTCTTGTTTTTAGTTGACTGCTTCGCATATTCAGCTGCCAAAGACACTGACTTCAGAATTCCGTACAAGTCACAATATTTCATACCCACCGAAACAGTCGAAGAGGGAGACATACGAAGCCGGGAGACTGCATAAAAGTTCTATTAAATTAGGAAATATAAATGTACATTAAAATCTACTTTAGTTGTCATGAATTTTTCTGTAGTTGTATTGAGATGTGTAACTTGGTTAATGTATATTTAGATTGTTTAGCCAAGGTGGTTTGGGTACAGATAATTATTATAAGTAATAGCATGGCTTGAGGGAGATTAGTGATTAAATGGCCCCGTAACCCGAGGCAGGTTTGCGGAATTCCCGAGGGCGAAGCCCGAGGGAATTCCGCAAACCTGCCGAGGGTAAGGGGTCATTTAATCACTAATCTCCCGAAAAGCCATGCTATTAGTTTGTAATAGCATAGTTTCGCCCCCATTTAAAAATGGACAAACATGCCCTACTTGGAATCAGCGTATTTAAGCTAAAACATTTGCTTCATTGCTTGTGGGATGTAAAAGCTTGTTGCACATGCGCACTTTTTACGCTTTAATCGGTTACGCATGCGCAATCTATCATTTAACGTACCACAACAAACACGCTAAATATATTAGTATAAATTTGGAGACTGCACGTGCGTAATTTAAATGATGCGGCAACTCAGGGATCGGATGATAGACTATTGACGGTTCTGAGCTAACTGTTGCTGTTCCTTGCACGATTATGTGCGTGAGGCACTTGCCTAATGCGTAGTCGTCAGGGAGACAAAGGTGTGACCCTTGGTAACGGGCGATTAGTTCTAATCGCCCGCTACAGCGGGCGATTAGAACTAATCGCCCGCTACAGCGGGCGATACGTGATTAAACGTCCCTGTTGAAACAAAAGAAACCCGGGCAACTATGCTATTATAATGGTTATCATTCCATGTTTCGCGCACCAATATAGGTTAGGGTTAGGTATTAGGGTTAGGGGTTAGGGTTAGGGGTTAGGGTTGGGGTTAGGGTTAGGGTTGGGGTTAGGGTTAGGGTGTGTATATATGTGTATGGAGCTATCTAGTGAACTTTTCAATACATTATAATATCCAATACATAACGTTTACTATATTAGTGCGCGAAACATGGAACACTTACCATTATAATAAAGTTTCTCACTTTCAAAATAGGAAGAGTAAAAATTGTAGATTGTATGTAAAATGCGATGTATGGAAATTCACACGGACCGTTTATGGTACGGCTCTTCAAATCTACCGTAACATTTTCTTTCGAGTTTTGTGCCAAAGTCATTAGTTTTTTTTCTAGTGCTCAAGAAACAAAGAAATACGCTATGTTTGGGTAGGATACGTTTGAATAACTATGGTTCGAGGTGGAAAGCAGAAATGAAAGATCTGGTTTTCTTCTACAAAGCTCTTTTTATATATGGGAGGTGCAGCGGTCTAGCTCACGACCCCCATGGAAAGTTAGGGCTTAGAACGGGCCAAAGTCAACGACGTGACGTATGCATGTAGTGTACATATGTATGAGTGTATTAATAAATTATGGCTGTACAACTCATCCAATTTTGCCCTTCATTACAATTGCTACAAAGTTTCTTTCAAAACATTAAGCAACCAAAAAATGTCAAAGATCTATCATTGAAACTTTCCCAAGGGGAAATGACTTCAGGGGTGCAAAACGATCTCAGGGGAGGTGCGCACCAACCCTCAAAATCCGGCCATGGTGTGTTCTCTGTTAAATGTGTGTCCATCTAGAAAACCCCTCCGACATTAAAACGAATAAAACAGACATACAGTTTTATACACAGAAACGACTTATTTCAACATCTTTTCATACAGAAAAAAATAACATCAGACATTATATAAAGCATCTTGACATTATATAAAGCATATAAAATATCTAGACATTATAAAGTATTCATAATGATTAATAATGTTCTAAAGTTTCTCTAGTTCAGTGGAGTGAGGTGTCACCCATCTTTCATTATGGTAAACACTCTCCCCAACTTTCCAGCCTTTCACATGTTTCATTATGGCTTCCTCAGTTTCCATATTTTCTTTCATCTGTCGGATCATGCTATAAAGAAGAGGGAAATACACAGTATTACAAAATATATAACGACGACATTATTTATGTTTGTGTGATGTTACTCTGAGTGTATATCCACACCGGGCAGGCTTGAAAACTATGCCTGGCCACGGCGGGATTCGAACCTACGACCTTTGGAATACTAGCCCAGTTCCGAAATATCGCATACTCGAACCGTCCTGACCGCGTAGCTCAGTTAGAAGAACATTGGGCTAGTATTCCAAAGGTCGTAGGTTCGAATCCCGCCGTGGCCAGGCATATTTTTCAAGCCTGCCCGGTGTGGATATACACTCAGAGTAACATCACACAAACATCTTATTCACCTGAGTACATTTATTTACACCAACACAGCAGATTTCGACATTATTTATATTGAACAAAATTAAAATATTTCTCACTTTCTGTCCTGTTCAGCTTGTATCAGTGGGATTAAGGACACTTTTGCTTCTTGCCGCTCCATTTTTAATGTTCTACAACACAAAACAATGATTATTTGAGGCACAGACACAGTAAAATCAACAGATTTCAAAAATAATTTCAAATTTTGCTTGCACCTTCTTTTATTATTCCCATATTTAACGACAAGAAATCCGCCCAGCATAATGCCGGTGCCTAACACAAAGGTCATAAAACCAGAAGGGCCTCTTGTTTTTAAATTTCTGGCGATATTAATCGAAGCATAGCCTCCTCTTGGAGGCATTTCTTGTTTGAATGCTTTTTCCGCCATCTTGGATATGGGGATATTAGACGGGGACGTGATTCGTATAATTATAATTCAATCTCCCGGGAAGTCAAATTCCGATAACGTAGTTTCCATTTTGAGGAAATTATTTTTAATATTTCTGTCAAAAAACTAAAAAGCAGAATAAAATAATGGCTGTTAATCATCAAAAATATTGAATATGTGATAGAAAATGTAAATATACATGCAATAAATTCTATCTAAATTCAGATAAACGGAAAAGAATGGAATATTTTAGTATTTTATAGTATTTTATTAAATAGTTCTTGCTTGGAGTATAAAAGTTAGTGTGGAAAAGTGGAAACATGGAATTCAATATGGCAGCGAATACAACACGGTTAGCACTATTTTCCATCCAGCAAACTGACCTGACGTCATTTTCGCTGGTGTTAAATGGCTATGTAACTAACCCAAACCCTACCCCTACTCTAACCCCTAACCCTAACCTCAACCCTAACTCTAACCCTAACCGAATTAATGAAAAAATCCAAAAAGAAACGACTTTACAAAATCGATAGGGCGGTTTGCTGGATGGAAAAAAGTGCTAACCATACAACACATGTTTGAATATTTTCATTCATTTAAGTGCGAATTTTCACTACAATTCCATTTGTTTTGGCTTTAAAATTATCCACACATTTTCAGCAACTAAGGATGTGTAGTATTGATGAAATTGAGCAGGTTGGCGACAATATAAAGTCTAAAAAAGGTGAAAACCGTCGCGACAAAGGAAACAGAAAAAATTTTGCAGGCGAAGGATCGTGCATGAAATGTCCCGAGAAAGCAGTCGTGCACGTCAGAAATAACGACCCGTTTTGTAGAACATGTTTCTTGGATTATATCGTCCATAAATTCCGTGCCACCATTGGAAAAGCTCGCGTTATTCACCAAGGGGAAAGAGTCTTACTTGCAGTTTCCGGGGGGTCGGCGTCGAGTACCATGCTGGATTTGGTTATCGAAGGTGAATGCCATTTAGTAATTTATGATAATAGCTAGAAGTTATGTAGTGTAGGTTTGCTTGTTTTTGCCTGTAAACAAGTAAAGTGTGATGTTGTAATATTCCACAAATAGATTGAGTTATTAACTTTATATTATTAAATTATGTACTTTATTTTGCCCCCTCCCCTGGATGAGTATTTTCAGATCAATCTCGTTCCCAGAGCCAAAATGTGGTCAGTACTATGACCGGCATCATATAAATTTGACCGGTCATATTAAAAATTTGACCGGTCATTAGGCTTGGGCGGTTAACCGGTTTTTCGGTTTTGTTCGGTTTTCTTTTTAAAACCGGTTTTCATTTCCAACAACTGAAAAATTGGTTTTTCGTTTATATCTTTTTTTCATGATCTGAAAAGTGTGCAAATACTAATTTGTGCAAGAAATGCTGTACAGAACCCTCGCCTAAGTACAGTCACAGTATAGGGAGACAACCAGTAGGCCACTTAGGGGAGAGAAAAGTGGCAATTATTTAAGCTAGGTTCCAGGTGTCTTATGCGCCAAAATCATTATTCTGTAGTACAATTTTATAGTGGACTGCTGCCGTTTACTGGCTGCCAATATGTAAATTAGGTTGGCAGCCAGTAAACAATTAGACATTTTTTTACGCTGAGTGGCCCTACTGTACTTTTCCTACACTGTGGTACAGTAGACAAAGTATTTTCTTAAAAACATGAGCAGACAAATCAGCTGTTCACCTAAAAGTTATCACGTAATGGTTCACACGTTTCTAGCATTCTCGTGCATTTCCTCCGGATTTGAGAGTGAGTTACTGTAGGTCTTATGAAATCATACCAAGACAGTGGTTAAGTTAGAATTTCCAAGAAATCCTATGTTAGAAAATGAAAAAGTCGCAAAAACCGGTTTTACGGTTTAACCGGTTTTAAGTCAGACAGTTTACCAGTTTTTATTTTAATCAAAACCGCCCAAGCCTACCGGTCATATTAAAAATTTGGTCGGCCATATTAAAAATTTGGCATCATATTAAAAATTTGGCCGGTCATATTAAAAATTTGGTCGGCCATATTAAAAATTTGGCCGATCATATTAAAAATTTGGCCGGTCATATTAAAAATTTGGCTAGTCATATTAAAAATTTGGCCGGTAATATTAAAAATTTGCCCGGTCATCAGTTAAAAATTTGCCCGGTCATATTAAAAATTTGGCCGGTCATGACCGGTGACTGGCCGTTATTTTGAGCCCCGGGCATAGACATGTTTTTATCTGTGACCGCTCATCCTTAGATACAAACAATACAACTTTGCCCATTAAGGTCTCAGCAAAGCCGCAGTGAAGAAACATCGTTTTCAGCCAGGGGTTGTTCATGTTGACGATGAAGGGCTCTGTGGCCATAGTGTCCATGACAGAAATAATGTGAAGCATCACATCGAAGAATTAGCAAGATCTGCCGGATTTCCATACCACCATGCTTCATTGGCCGATCTGTTTATACAACAGGGCAAAGAAACATCCCTTGAACGAAATCTACACGAATTAGATATTTTAAATGAAGAGCAAAATATTTCAAACGAAATATCAAAGAGAACGAAAAGTCTTAGAGAGGTTTTTGAAAAAGTAACCACTGTCACAGCTCGGGAAGATTTGTTGTCACACCTCTATCGTAATTTGCTGCAGAGGATTGCAAAGGACCATGGGTATGATTATATCATGGTCGGTGACTGTGGTACCAATATTGCAGTGAGGATTCTTGCGGACATTGCACAAGGCCGCGGATCACAACTACCGTTAAGTGTCAGCTTCAAAGATAGTCGTTCTGAGGTTCCAGTGTTACGACCGATGCGTGAATTCACGAAAAAAGAGATCCAGTTTTATAATTGTTTTAGTGACGTTACTTCGTTTACCATACCCTCATTTACAACAAAAGCTTCAAGTCACGGAAGCGTAAATCGATTAACAGAGGAGCTTATTTTTGGTTTGCAAGCAGGTTTCCCATCAACAGTGAGTACAGTTTTGAGAACGGGTGACAAGATATCGTCAAATGTCGATAGAAAGGATGGTCTGCATTGCGTCTTGTGTTTGGCTCCATTAGGTGTAAATTCTGGTTTTTCTGAAGCATTTAGTGAGTTGACAACATGCAGTGGTGGCGAGTGTGGTACTGGTGGTTGCCAGAAAACTGATGGTGGTGATGGTATTGGTGGTGGAGGTACTGATGGTCATGATGACACATTAAGACACATGGGCACTCACTCTGATTCACTTGAGAGTGCCTATGGCATTGATGGTAGCTTTGGTGGCATAACAATCACTGGTAGTGGTAAAATATGTGGTACTAGTGGTCACAGTGGTACACTTGGTAGTGTTGGTGATGGTACACATAGGGATAGTAGTGGTCACAGTGGTACACTTGGTAGTGTTGGTGATGGTACACTAAGGGGTATTAGTGGTCACAGTGATACACCTGGTAGTGTTGGTGATGGTACACTAAGGGGTAGTAGTGGTCACAGTGGTATACCTGACACACACATTGGTGGTGATCAGAGTACAGATGACCATAATATTCTGTTGAAGTCACTTTGTTATGGTTGTATGTTGACATATCATGACATCAAAGATGGACAAATGGTACTACAAACGTTTCTGACAGAAAATCCAAGAAAGCAATTTCAACAAGGAGCAATGAATGAACTAGCCTGCGGACAGCCTCCCAGGCTATGAAAGAACAGATTAATGAGTTCTTACTTGATGGCTAACATAGAACAAACATTTACACTTCTTACATTTTAATTTTGTCTGATATTTTAATTATATATTCCAAACTATAGCATTTTGAACATCAATAATATTCTATTATGGCATGTTAAAAGTTGTATAGAATTTGATGAAATATGTATACCAGTCGAAACATTCAAGAGATTCTGAATATTGCATTATTGATAAAAGAATTACAGGATGGAGTGTTTTTTCCAGCCTTTAAACCAGGGGACTTCCGAGTATGGTTTGCACTGGATCGACAAAAGGTGGAAGAGTATAAAGGCGGACTTCCAGTCCTCGCACGAAGCTCCTCGAAGCTCGCTGCGAGTGCTTGCATCTAATTAAAATTAATTGTTTAGTATTGTGATTGGATAAAAGTGCTCATACATGCACTCGCAGCGAGCTGCGAGGAGCTTCGTGCGAGGACTGGAAATCCGCCTTTAGCAAGTAAGAATCAAATGAAACAACGGTCAAAGCAATTCTAACAAATGTTTATATTCTACCTATCTTACATTACAAAAATATTTCAATTTTAATAATTGTACTGTACATCAGTATGTCTTTAATTATAATTCTTTTATTCAAGTTTTCTTTGAAATTTTGAAAGAAAAATATACGATGTAGATGAAAGAAATAAATCCAACTAACGCAGTTCGACTTTGGCGTCTTTCCAGAAGCTTTCAAGAATTAAAGAATGAGCTCTTTCAGATGGTAAAGCCAGCCGTAATTTCATCATGGTCTTCAAAACGATCTGTATACCAATTAGCCCAGATGAGCTATGCAAATAGACTTAGTCACCTATTAAACGCATTTGATGCCTGTTGTCATCCAATTCACATTTCCAAATAACTCACATGTCTAGTTACCACTGTTCTGATAATGTAAGCATAGAATGGAACAAAGATAACCAAGCATTTATATATGCGAGTGAATTGGGTGGGATAACTCACATGCCTAGTTACCACTGTTCTGATAATGTAAGCATAGAATGGAACAAAGATAACCAAGCATTTATATATGCGAGTGAATTGGGTGGGATAACTCACATGCCTAGTTACCACTGTTCTGATAATGTAAGCATAGAATGGAACAAAGATAACCAAGCATTTATATATGCGAGTGAATTGGGTGGGATAACTCACATGCCTAGTTACCATTCTTCTGATAATGTAAGCATAGAATGAAACAAAGATAACCAAGCATTGAAATTATATATGTGAGTGACCAAGCATGTTAAGTTATATATGCGAGTGAATTGGGTGGGATAACTCACATGCCTAGTTACCATTCTTCTGATAATGTAAGCGTAGAATGAAACAAAGGTAACCATGTTCTGATAGTGTTAGCATAGAAATATGTGAGTGAATTGGGCGGGATAACTCGCATACCTAGTTACCATTGTTCTGATAATGTAAACACGGAATGGAACAAAGATAACCAACCTTCTAAATTATGTATACTACATACAAACATAACAACTACTGCTATTAACCCTAACTGCTACTACATCAAATACTGCTACTGTTCTGATAGTGTTAGCATAGAATGGAACAAAGGTAACCAAGCATTTAAATTATATACGTGAGTGAATTGGATGGCAATCGACATAAATACTCGTTAATTGTAACTGAACAAGTCTATTACTGTAGACTTTACGACTAGTCTATATCGCGTTGACGCCTTTTCAATTCTATGTTTTCTGAAAATGTGTTGGGTACCTTCTCGGGACGTGCTTCAGGTCTTGAAACGTCGAACTGTCTTTAGTCATTATCAGGCAGTTCTGATAAAACCCATCTCAGCTTCAAAATCCTTAATAGTAATAACCGTCCTTTTTGGTATGATACCCAACCATTTCTTGACTTGCGTAACGCGACATAGAACAAATTCAAATTATTTCTTCATTTTAAATATTTTAACACTGTCTGTTCCTGCATAGTCGTATTTCCGAGGGCTTTTGTAATCGGTTGCATGGACCACCTAGTTTTTTGGTTAATTTATGTTCGCATTTTACTCTTCGTAGTTGATAACCATACCCACACGATCGGGAACACTAAAGAATGGGAAAGCAGATTATTAGTGGTAAGAGTAGTGATATAATTTAATGTCCATGTTGACTTTTCAAACAATGATCTCACTGGAAAAGCAATATAAGTTTTTTCAAACTGCATTGCAGGGCCTTTTTTAAGGATTTTCCCGTGGGGGGCATTTTTTGAAAAGGGACCTTTCTGTGAGATAATATATTAGAGGGGGATAGCAATGGCTGAAAACCACGTGTGTGGCAAATATACCACGCATGAATGGGGGGTCTGGGGGTGTACTCCCCCAGAAAATTTTCGAAATTTGACTCCCGGAAATGTCATTTCCTGCATTCTGAGCATCCAAATTTGCTCCAAAATTTATCCTAACTATACTTGTATTTGAAATAAATAAAGGAAGAAACGCACAAAAAGTAAAAAAAAAAATAACCATCATTTATCATTACTTATTAGAGGAGGATAGCAATGGTCAGGTGTATGGGGGTGTACCCCCCAGAAAATTTTTGAAATTTGAACAACGGAAATGCCATTTCCTGCATTCTGAGCATCCAAATTTGCTCTAAAATTTATGCTAACCATAGTTGTATTTGAAATAAAAGATGGAAAAATGCACAAAAAGTAAAAAAGAATATTAACTGTAATTTATCATCACTTATTAAGGGATAATCCCAAGAAAATTTTTGAAATTTGAAACCGTGAAATGCTATTTCCTGCATTCTGAGCATCCAAAAAATTTTAAAAAATATTAACAATAATTTATCATTACTTAGTGGTAAAAAAAGTAACAATTTAAATCGACTTTGTTAAACAAGAACAAAGGATAAAGCCTAAAACTTACTCTCCGTTTATCTATTTGTTAATCTTCGCTGGATTGTTTGTATAATTTTAGGAAAAAGGGACTTTTCCTGGGGGGGCAAAATGTGATTTCGTGGGGGGGCACAAGGGGGGACTGGGGGGGCAAATGCCCCCCCAGCTTGTATGTTAAAAAAGGCCCTGATAACCAGAGCGTTGCTTAGGCACTTTCAAAGAAGTAAACCACGATTAGTTACCAAAAAAAATCACTGAAACTTTCAATACAAGATGGCGTTGTAAGAAAAACTTCCATTTCAAACATCGAGACAAAATAGACATAGTACTTCATTTAAGATATGTTATACTGGCTTCAAATACAAGAGTAATATGGGAGGGGTAAGCAGGTACAAATGTAGACTATTTTGGTCAGCAATAACGAGCCAATAACATCGATTTCACCACAGCATTTGGTTGCTAAGGTGGTTACTATGGGCCAATTTCAATATTAGGCAACTTTGATTGCAAAATTTACCCCTAAGGAACTCAGATACGACGAAAATATAATGCTAGGCATGAAAGTGCATATGATGGAGCCCCCAAATTTATATATTTCAAAAAAGTGAATTTTTTGAAAATACAATGTATAAGACCACCTTATTAATTCGTGTTAAAACAGTTACAAGATATAGAACTGTTTGAACAACTAACACATTGTTCATACGTTTACAGAAACCCAGAGACCTAGATACTCAGAAACCCAGAGACCCATAGGCCCATCGACCCACACACCCAGAGACCCAGAAACTCAGAAACCTACAAATACAGAGATCTAGAGACCCAGAGACCTAGAAAACCAGAGACCCAGAGACCTAGAAACCCAGAGACCTAGAAACCCAGAGACCTAGAAACCCAGAGACCCAGATACCTAGAAACCCAGATACCTAGAAACCCAGAGACCTAGAAACCCAGAGACCTAGAAACCCAGAGACCTAGAAACCCAGAGACCCAGGTAAATTATAAACACGACAGTAGACCATAGTAAATTATAAACACGACAGCTTCAATACTACATTTCCTAAACTCTTCAAAACATTGAAATATATTTAATAACCCGATAGCCTCAACACTACATAGCCTAAACTCTTCAGAACATTGTAGGGACCTTTCACACAAGAATATATTTTGCTAGTCAAGAATATAAGATCGACATTTAATACGACATACTGTACAGTAGGAGTGAATATTTTTATTTATATTTATGACTTTAAAGAATTTCTTGTTGCCAAAATGCAGCATGTACTACCAAAATAAGAATGTTTAGTATCCCTTACCTCAGTTGAGTCTGGAAGCTTTGTCTTGACATTCATCTTTTTAGTATTTTTCATCGCACAAGACCAGACCGTTTCACAGTTCGCAGTTTAGAAAAATACTGTAAGCAGAGCCACAAAATAGAGAAGGGCAGAAGGTTCACTCGAGTCGGAACCTTTGAAGTTTTTACATGTTACTTCCGGATCCTGGCCGCCATGTTGAAAGCAACCAACTCTGGTCCAAGGTCGGCAGTAGATCATAGACAAGATACGCACATATCTGAAACTGCAATACATACGAGTCAGCGGTATTTCAAGTGCAGTAAACTTTATATAAACGCAATAAAAACATCATTACATTTACAAATGATGCATTACAAATAAACAAATCATTACAAATGGAGATTTAAAGATTGTTATATCGATAAATAGGTATGTGTAAACCGAAATATATATTTACTTTTATTACCTATTTGGGGTTAATTTAAAAATCATTTTAAAGGGAATTTTCCAAGGGAAAAATATAGCCCACATGTGGCATAGTATTCTATGAGGGGTTATCACTATCAAAAATAACTCTTGATCGTGTGGGAAGTTGATTGGGCCGTAAATCAAATTCAGTCGTAAAGTTTCATTGCCCGTAACGTACGTCTTTACATCGTAATTCAAAATGTTTCGTAATTAACGTGATACTTCGGGTCGTAATTAACGTGATACTTCGGGTCGTAATTAACGTGATACTTCGGGTCGTAATTATCGTGATACTTCGGGTCGTAATTAACGTGATACTTCGGGTCGTAATTATCGTGATACTTCGGGTCGTAATTAACGTGATACTTCGGGTCGTAATTAACATGATACTTCCGGTCGTAATTAACGTGATACTTCGTCACTTTCGCATATACTTTATGTGACCCCTTATTATACTATATCATAATGCTCTAGATACTCTAGCCCTGAATAACTATCACTAGCCCTCCTTAGCCCTCCTTAGGCCTCCTTAGGCCTCCTTAGGGCTCCTTAGCACTCCTTAGGCCTCCTTAGCCCTCCTTAGGCCTCCTTAGACCTCCTTAAACCTCCTTAGGCCTCCTTAAACCTCCTTAGGCCTCCTTAAACCTCCTTAGGCCTCCTTAGACCTCCTTAGGTCTCCTTAGGCCTCCTTAGCCCTCCTTAGGCCTCCTTAGCCCTCCTTAGCCCTCCTTAGGCCTCCTTAGTCCTCCTTAGGGCTCCTTAGCACTCCTTAGGCCTCCTTAGCCCTCCTTAGGCCTCCTTAGACCTCCTTAAACCTCCTTAGGCCTCCTTAAACCTCCTTAGGCCTCCTTAAACCTCCTTAGGCCTCCTTAGACCTCCTTAGGTCTCCTTAAACCTCCTTAGCCCTCCTTAGGCCTCCTTAGCCCTCCTTAGCCCTCCTTAGGCCTCCTTAGTCCTCCTTAGGGCTCCTTAGCACTCCTTAGGGCTCCTTATGCCTCCTTAAACCTCCTTAGGCCTCCTTATGCCTCCTTAGGCCTCCTTAGACCTCCTTAGGTCTCCTTAAGCCTCCTTAGACCTCATTAGGGCTCCTTAGCACTCCTTAGGCCTCCTTAGGGCTCCTTAGCCCTCCTTAGCCCTCCTTAGGCCTCCTTAAGCCTCCTTAGGGCTCCTTAGCACTCCTTAGGCCTCCTTAGGGCTCCTTAGGCCTCCTTAGCCCTCCTTAGGCCTCCTTAGGGCTCCTTAGCCCTCCTTAGGCCTCCTTAGCCCTCCTTAGGCCTCCTTAAGCCTCCTTAGACCTCCTTAGGGCTCCTTAGCACTCCTTAGGCCTCCTTAGGGCTCCTTAGCCCTCCTTAGGCCTCCTTAGCCCTCCTTAGGCCTCCTTAGACCTCCTTAGGGCTCCTTAGCCCTCCTTAGACCTCCCTAGGCCTCCCTAGGCCTCCTTAGGGCTCCTTAGGCCTCCTTAGGGCTCCTTAGCCCTCCTTAGGCCTCCTTAGCCCTCCTCCTTAGGCCTCCATAGCCCTCCTTAGGCCTCCTTAAGCCTCCTTAGACCTCCTTAGGGCTCCTTAGCACTCCTTAGCTCTCCTTAGCCCTCCTTAAGCCTCCTTAGACCTCCTTAGGGCTCCTTAGCA